AAATCTATCTTCTTACAATGTTGATTGATTTTGATATTACAAAAAAAAATAACTATATCTTATCACCAACTTTAAATAAATATTCTTTTCTAAAAAAATCTTTATTAATTTTTTGTTGTTCTTAAGCCTGTTTTAGCTATATCTTTATTATTTTATAAAGCCATATCATTTTATTTGCTAAATCTTTTATTATCAGATTTTTAACTTTATTAAAAAAAAATATAAAATTATAAATGATAATCATAATTGGTAAAAAATAGGATTTGTAAAATAAAAAAATATACCATAATATTATATATAAAAAAATTCTAATGAAAAAAGAGTTTTTCAATTAAGTTGATAATATTATAAAATGTATTGCAAATATTATTCTAATATTTTATATTTTATTGATTAATTTAAAGAAAAAAAACTAAAGATTACTTAAAATCAATCTTTAATATGTTAAAAAGTGTATTAAAAAATCTTAAGATATAAAATGGGGTCTTTAATTAAATTTGATTTTTCTTGGAAGTCCATGATATTATTAGAAAATACTGAATATAAATTTAAAGAAATAACTTTACCTATAATAGTTTTTATACATGGTATAAATGTGCCATTTTGATTAATCAATATACCATAAAAAAATAACTTTAAGGATTTGAAAGTATATTTTTTTTATAAAATTTATTAAAATAAATGATCAAAATTTCTTTGAAATAGATAAAAATTGAAGAAGTCTATAAGATCAATGTTATGGAATCTTTGTTTTAGAATAAATGTTGTAAGATTAAAGAATTTCTTTTATCTCTTTTTACATTTGAAGCCATTAAAAATCTCTTGAAATAAGATCCAAGAGATTTTTATATCTAAAATATCATGTTGCTAAAAAGTTATGATGTACGTATAATACATGTAATTGCACTTAACTTTTTAAAATATATAATTATCTTTTATAATAAAAAAGGTTGTCTTAGAATTCAATTTTTTAAAATTTACTATGAAGGTTATTTTTAATACCAAGAATAAAAAGGCCTATTAACATGAACAAACTTGATTAAAAAAATAGTGTCAATTAGAATTATTATTTTAAGGCATAAATATGTACTTTTTTAGTTTTAAAATAACTTTATATTATTAATCATATGCGGCATCTTATTTTTTGATACAAGATAAGAATTTGAGGATAAGATATGTGATAAAACTTATTATTTTATAATACAACATGTAATCTTAAATATAAATTGTAACAAAAATATACTTCAATAGACTTGGTAATAATTTAAAATATGTATTGACATAAAATATTAAAGATTTATATGATCAATATAGTTTATAATTGCATGAGAATTGCCTTCTAGATATTGATACCATTCTTAGAATAAATTATAATAGCAAAAAGTTATTTTTTGTAAACTTCATAATTAATCTTAGCTATTAAGATTTTTTTTGAATAAAAGACAATAGAATTAAATCTATAATTAGTATCCGTTTGTCATAGAATTACATTTAATACAAAGTCTAATGCTTTTTTTTTCATAAAAAGTAGCTTTAAAAGATTGAAACAACATATAATAAAGGCAAAGATCAAAACAATTTTCAAACCTTCAAATATTATTTTTGCATCATAATTCTATTTTCATTTTTCTTTAAATATTAACTATGTCAAAATATCAAATATTAAATAGAAATTTATAATAAATATCTAATAATAGTTTATAAATACTAAAAAATATTGAACATGGTGTATTATTTTTGAACTTATTTAATCCATTATACTTTTTACTTTTTTAGAATCTATTTGCAAAGTACCATTTAAAATAATATATTCCAAAAATTTCACTTAAGTTTTTTAAAATACATATTATTTTATCTTAACATATAGTCTTACATCTTTGAAGTTTTTATACTACAAGGCAAAGATGTTCATGTTCTTCCATATTCTTAAAATAGATATCAATGTAGTCTAATTAATATACAACAAAATTATCTAAGAATTCACAAAATATATCATTTATCAAATGTTGGGAAGTAGCTAAAGCATTTATAAGTCCAAAATATATGATATCATATTTAAAATTGTCATGTTTTATTTGAAATATAATTTCTTATTTATCTCTTTTTTTTATTATGTATTAAATTATAGGTTTCTTGTACATCTATCTTTATATAGATCATTACTTTATTTAATTGATTAAAGAACCTCAATATCAAAGATAAAGGATAATAATTTTAAATAGACGATATTTTGAATCTACAATAATCTAGACAAATTTGTATAGATCTACTTGTTTTCACAAAGAAAATTCATGCACTCATAAAAGATCTTAAATATTAAATACAATTATTTTAAATATTTTTATTAATACATTCCTTTATAGCATCAAATTATTTTGCAACAAGTTGTGAATTATTTAAAATAGTAGTTGAGATCCTACTTAAAGATTAATTAGATAATTATAAGATACTAATCTTTTTATATCAAACTTCTTTGACATATTAATCCTTGGCTTCTTCATACTTGTAGTCATAAGACTTTTAGAGTTTATGTATAAAATTGATTAACTTATACTTGCTTTTCTTGATTGCATCACTTTTTGGCATAAATATTAGACTTTGTTGTTAACTTCTTCTATAAGTATAATAATAGTACTTTCATGTTGAGATTACCAATACATGAAATTTTTTTCAAATAGAATTAAAAAGCTTAAGATGATTTATAATAGATAAAAGCCTATTCTTACTTCTATTAAATGTAGTATCAATAATTATTTTTTTTAAAATCTTAATAAATAAAATTATAAAAATAAATTAAAAAATTAATTCAAAAGAAGATAATTTGAAATTTCTAATAATAATAAAAATTTCTATAAAGAAAGATAATTTATTCTTTTTGATAAAAAAAATAATATTATAAAATAAAAATAAAACAACCTTTAATTATTAAAGGCATGACCTACAATAAAAATTTCAAAATAAAAATTAATATTTATATCACCAACAAAAAGAAAATAAACAACTAAAAGATAGATATTATATTAAAAATAAAATAGCTATTGTCAAATGCAAAAAGACTAAAAAATCTTGAATCAAGATTGAAAAAAGAAATAGAAAAAGATATTGATATGAATAAAGAAGGTCTCACTCTTGCCTCTATATATACTATCTACTAAAGAATTATATAGTGATGCCCTATAGGTCATAGACATGTGTCTAATTTATAGGATATATGTCTAATTTGTAGAGCAAGTTTATAGTAATTGCCCCAAATGGCAAATTTGTAATATAAGTGGTTAAATATGCAACATGTAGCAAACTTATTGGCCAAGTTTTTAACCTACTAATCACTTCTTCTATCTCAATGTAAAGTTTACAAAGCCTCTAAAAAGCTATCCCACAAGTTTTAATAATTTAACCTACTCCTACTTACTTCTATTTAGTTCTACTTATCTAAATAAATATACAAGAAAATATAGCTATCTATTATATTAACAAAAAATAAAAAAAAATAAAATAAAAAAAAAAAAAAAACTCAAGAAGCAAAATAATCAATTTTTTTAAAAAATAAAAAAATATTAATAAGATTTTAATCTTGATAAATTGTCAAAGACATAAATCACAATAACATTCAAAAAATAATATACTCATGTATTACTAAAGAATAAAATAAATAAATAAATAATTAAATAATTAAAAGAGATAATTAAATAATAGATAAGAATTTAAATGACTATTATCAAATACAAAATGATTAAAAAGTCTTGAACCAATAGTAGAACATAAGAAAGGTATTGAAAAGACTACACATGAAATTAGTCTTGCCTCTATATATATTAGCTATAAAGAAGGTCTTGTAGAAGCTTTCTAAGAATATTAATGTTTGTGGTCTAATTTTCAAGTTGTAGATTTTTTCTAATATAACTTCTTATAAGTATAAAAATTATTAAAAAAAATTCGAATAGCCACATGATATATTTAAAAAAGGATAAATATCTAATCTATAACTAAGAAACTTTCTTGAAGCTTCTTTAGAGAGATATTATGTTTTGAATATGTTTCTATTTACTTCTATTTATTTTATTTATTTAAATAATATAAATATTTAATATATTAATATTAATATAAAAAAATTAAGATCTTTATATATTTTTTAATAATATTTTTATTATTTTTATCTTAATTCAAAGATTTCTAATTTCTTTATAATTTTTAATAATCAATTTAATTTTCTTTCTATCTTGTATTTATCTACTTTTTGTTTATTTTCTCTTTTTAAGTCACATAAGAGAGTACTGTCTTCATAAAATTCTATTTAAATTTGTATCTTTGATAATTACTTCCAAATTACCTAAAAGTATGTAATCTTAATTAAAAGTCATAGTACTTTCATATCTTTTATGTAAATAAAGGTTTTTTTGAAAATATTTTTATTAAAGTATAATTATTTTTTCTAGTTTATTATTTAAATTTTATTTGAAAAGATAATATAAAATATAGTTATTTAATTCAAAACTGAATAGATGATAATTTAATTCAAAAATCTATATAAGATAATTTTTGGTGTTTCTAAAATATAAAAGTAACATGGACTATTAATACTATATATATATATATATATATATATATATATATATCATCTAGGATTTTTTTTTATTATTTTTTGAGCCAAATTAAATAAATTAATGATAATCATTTCTTATAGGATTTTTTTTTTTTTTTTTTTTTTGCCAAATTAAATAAATTAATGATAATCATTTCTTATAGGATTTTATTTTTTTATTTTTTTGTGCCAAATTAAATAAATTAATGTTAATCATTTCTTATTTTAGTTTTGTCCTACAAGGATTTTTGATACTTAATTGTTTGAATAAGAAGAGTCCTATTACATAATAATTTTAGGCTTATTTTTTCATTGTGTTCTCTAAAAGAGCAATTTCTATGCCATAAAAAGTCTTTAAGATCAAAATCTAACATGTCCATTGCTTCAAAAAAGATTAAAGTGTTGTTACATGAGAATCATTTCCCTTCCTATTCCTTACTAGCTCGATATCCCCTGTACATCCTGATGCAGATTCATCGGAAATATCGAACATGCCGATAGTGACAATGAACTCAATTGAGGCGAGTGTTTCTACTGCCGATGCTCCGGTTGGGAAAATGAATTAATTTACATTTACAATGTTCTCCTGTGAATCAAAAACAATCTAGAGATCTAAACACCGTGTCCACGATCATATGTACAGATGGTGATCTTGAGCTCTACCGGAAAGGTTCACGATGTTGGTTGCCGTTGTTAAAATTACTTTAATGGTGTCTGAGATGCGGTGCCCCGATGGCCATTGTAAGATTCAGCTGCAGGGGTTCCTCATCGTTTCTGTATCTGCCGGTGGCGCATTCATCATCCAACGGCACTTCGGGGCAAACATGTGAGTCCCAATATTTTCCAGATGCTTGTTGGTCATACTCACATGCCTTGTGTCGCTGGAGTGCTTGACTATCAGCAACTCTTCTCTGCAACATCTCAGCTTCCGCTGCCCCAAATATTAGTCCATACTTCTGCAACTGTGGCTCCTTGAGCACTTCAACTGCTTCCCTTAAAAGATTTGCATGTCGCTCGGTAGAGGACAGGTTCTTCATGCATGATTCAGAATCGTGTGGATGGCGATCCGCTACTGGAACTGCATCGGCGTTGCTCATCCCTTCTTCATTAATCCTTCCCATTCGGAGCATCTGAAGATGGCTCTTGACGTGAGCTATGGTGATTCTGTCCCTACCCATACATTGAACAATCCTCTTCGGCGTGGCTTCTGCGTTGTGAATATCAGAGACGAGAAATAATTAGATCTATTTTGTGGTGGATGCGACTTTATTCCAGTATACAAGTTTACTGTGCCGTCAATTGACAATTGTAGATCTAACATGGAGAAATATCCATCTCTCCAAATTAAACGACAAGCCAACTAGCAACCCGGCAACTGAATGTTGCTGAATTCTATCATTACATTGTGTCCTCTCAACTGTAGTTACTACGACAAATTGAAAATTGTATGAGCGTTCATGAACTTACTGTCTTTTCCGCCTAGACGATTCACGGCGCCCATGAAACATTGGTGCAGGTCAAGCGTCCACTTCAATTTGTGCATGCTTGAGCGAACATAAGGCCGAATCTTCCTGTATTGTTTGAACGTTGCCAAGGACTCGTCTCCAGTGACGGTATGAATCTTATGTGTGCTCCTCCTTGAAGTAGTAGGCAGAAGATGAGGGATCCCGCTCTCATCTCCTCTTCCGTCATGATTAAAATCGAAAAGGTCCAAGCCGAGAACCATGATCGCAAAAATGCTCTGCAGATAGCAGATATGCAACTCGTACGAAGAAAGGAAGAAAAGCACAGAATGGTCTATGCTCAGAAAATCCCTAGTAACCACTTTCTGTCCTCCAACTTCAGAAACCTGATTTATACTCCCAATCGTCCAAGTTCAGATTGCAAATGCCACAGTGCTCGTCTGCGCACCGGGAAGCAAAGGGTACTGTGCAAGAATCGAATAAACTAGCAGATCACAGCAACTCATATTCAAGAAAATGAGCTTACGTCTGCTAAAGTCTGATTGCGTGCTAATCACCCAATTTTGCTAGATAATGCCCTCGAAGGAATCATCCAGAATGTCACAAGCATGCGGTTAGGATACAGACAGTTCCCCCGGTTGGAGTGCAAACATTACCCAATAATTCGCAAATGAGGAACAAATACAACTACAATGACTTTTTCCCTTTGCAGACCAACAGTAAGCCTTCCTCCTTGGTAAAGTCTAAATTACCCTGTCTGTACTCGTGATCGGAGCTGAGCAATCGAGACTTCTAGTTCACAAAACGGTCCTGGAAATGAATTGCACAAAGAGATTTTCTTGAAAGGTATCAGAATCTCAGCAATGTTTTCGATTCAAGGTCTTTATTCTCAAGGTGAGCGAGCAGCAAAATGTGCTTGCAGATTAAAGTGCCCCCGCGGGATGTAAACAAAAATAACGTTACAGTTCTCTTCATTCCGATCTGTGAGTCCACAACCCGGATATAGTGGAAGCTTTCCTGTCGGCACTGACCCTCATGCAGCTTGAACGATTCAATCCACAGAAGATAATTGAGTAAGTGGTGAGGTTTCCTTGTGGCGCTGAAAGATTTTACCCATTATTATGACTGGATTTACGGCAAGTTTACAGCTCTGGTGAATGGTTTTCGTCGATCCAAGGTAATTGATATGACGCGTTTCTGCCGACAGCTTACCGCGTCACTCTCGTTACGAAAAGGTAGGAGCGAACCACATCGACCTTATAAAGTATTGTTCAGGGTCCACAGGTAAACGGCAGTGGGAGCAGCGCGTATAGTCTCGAGAGCATTCCTAGATGAAGCTGTAACAGTAAATTGAGACGTAGAACTTCCAACAGGTCTTTCTGTTCAACAGCAACCGAAATTCGGCAAGGTCGTCTGAGGAAATAACACTAAAAGATGAGATCCCATGAGAATTAAAATTCTGTAGTAAGTGTTTGATTACCTACGATGGTCTGGAATTCCACCGGTCCGTGATTGTGCAGACAACCCAGTTTCAGACAGCCTCATATTAGTCGAATTGCCACTGCTGTCCAGATCTAATGTCGCTCTCAAGTCGCAATCGTGGTTTACGTCTGCATCATCGAACCAGTGGACTGTCGGACCGACAATCATGGAATTCAAGGTTCGGAGACTGAATCGCGGTCACGCGTATACATTTGAGCCATTGGGATGACGGAGCACGCCTGGGGTCGGTCCTGGAACTGGCACGGTCTCATAGATAAAAGCTAGACTCATAGATCCCACGGAGGCTCTGGTCACAATGTCTGCACATGAAGCGGTGTGAAGACACTCTCCTGCGACGAGACGAGACGAGACAGTGAGGGGTCTGAGATTGTGGGGCACCTTGAGATCTACAGCAATGCCTTTCCTTAGTCAGGCCGGACTGCTGCCGACCACCAGTCCATCATTGATCTGCACTGAAGCAGTTGCAGACCCTGGCAGTCTTCGTTGTTGAAATTCTCAAGTCCCCCTCTCCAAACTTCACCTCTTCGAAACTATTTATGGCTTTTGTTTGTGCACAGATATATGAACAATGGAGGAAATCACTGAAACCCCACATGATTACATTGGTTGTATACATTGTGCGATGCAGGGAGATTCTGGTTTACTTCGAAGGGGAATTCGGTTACCGGGAGAGTCCATTCGATCCTTCATGCTCAGTAGATATTTTAATTAATTTTTTTTAAACATAAAATAAAAATTTATAAACGAATATATATATATATATATATATATATATATATATAACACATTTCTTTTATTTCACAAAAAATCTCATTGAAATCATTTCTTTTGAAAATTATTGTGATTTAATAAGTATATATGATTTTTTATGTGGAGATATATATTTATAGAAAAGAAATAGTGTATAAAACCATGGACTTAAAAGGTTTGTAACCATAAAAAAATTCTAATAATCTTATACTTATTAATAATCTTATTTTATAATTTTTAAATTTTATTAGGTTAAACCTAAATAATATAATTTAAAAACACAAATATAAATGAACTTGTACAAAGATAATTTACTTAAGTGAAACTTTTAAAAGATAATAAAATAATATAAATAATAAATATATACATATATAGATATAAATAATAAATATATACATATATAGATATAGCTTTAGATTCCATTGATATTAATGAAACATTTAATTTATACGAAATATGGTACTAGGTACTACTCTAAAATTTGAAGATTTAGACGTTATACATATCTCTCCAAAGTTTCACTCTGCATATTGACAACATAAAATAAAGATGTATTTTTGTTTGGTATTTTTATATAAAACATTTTGAGCTGTAAATGTTCACTAGTATACATTCTGCTCATGTGTTAATCTCAAGTATTTTTTTCACTCACCCAAATGCACAAACTGTAGCCGACAAAGACCAAAAAGTGGAATTCAGACAGAGAAACATGCAGAGTCTGCAGCGGAGGAGATGATCTGCATGCATGCATACAAAGAGACGATCAGAAGCTCCATGCTGGCCATGATTTAATTAGAACAGCTGCATGAATCACCTCGCTCCTCTCGCACTCCACTCTAGTCGTCTCCAACCAGCTTCACAAATCCAACTGAACTCACAGTTCTAGTTTTGCCAAAAGCAAGCCTTGCTCGTCCTCCTCCGCCCCTTAATAGCCATGCATTCGCCCAATGACTGCGTCGGTATGAGCCAAAATACCTCATCTAGTGTAAGAAACTCACAAAATTACAACAACAGTGATGGAGCTTCATGGGCGTGTGGCCCGTGCGGGGCACTCCGGGGTGATGGCAACAACTTTCAAGAGAACAGTGAGGCAGTATCCAGCCAGGAACAAGACCGCCAGAAAGCCTGTGGTGGAGAAGGATTCTGGTGATGCTCGTAGTGGTCCTGTGAAGCGGAGTTCAGGTTTTCGAGGAGTGACGAGGTGAAAGACTCTTGGTTTTTTGGGGGTTCGTGATCGGACGTCTGCGTTAATTCCATTTGCAATCCTCCATGCCCAGATGTTGAAGTGGTTGTTGATTTAAGACTTGGCCGGCGCACACTCAGCAACAGCATTGTGGTTTTGAATTTAGGTCTTTCGTTGACTTGGGTGTGTGCAGGCACAGGTGGACGGGGAGATTTGAGGCTCACCTCTGGGATAAAAATTGTTGGAATCACAAGCAGAACAAGAAGGGACGTCAAGGTACCAATACCTGGTGGTCGAAGATTTGGAATTGTTTGTTGCAGTTTATTCGTCGTTCTTTCTCTCTCATCTGACAACTGGAAGCAATTAGTCGACGCGTAACACTCCGGGGGGTCTTTGACACGTTCCATGACAATGTAGGTAGCACGTGAACTAACTTGTGGGATGCTTTGTGTCATGGTGTGTGTGGGTGCCGCCGTGGACGCTTCGATGGGCTCGCTGCAGTTTATCTTGGTGCGTATTCATTTCATCCTATAGCATGCAATGCGGAGGGAAACACTGCTTTTTGGAGGTTGAGATTGTGGTCTAAATTTTTTTTGTTATCCCACCAGGGGCTTACGACGAGGAAGAAGCAGCAGCTCGGGCTTACGACCTCGCTGCTCTTAAATATTGGGGACCAGGAACTATAATCAACTTTAAGGTACACGAGCAAAAATCGGGGTCACACTTTTTTCTGTCAATCTAACAATCGATCGCGGAAGTCATTCAGTTTAGTTGAAAAGCATGATCTTAACTCAGTTTTTAAAATTTCGTCAGTTGGAGGACTACGAGCGCCAAATTCAGGAAATGGCTGTAATTTCTCCAGAGGAGTATCTCGCCTCACTGAGAAGGTCAGAATTTGTCGGTGAACATTCGTTGATTGGATGCATTTTAGGAAAAAAATTATTTCTTGATTGATGAAAATTAAAAAAATTATAATAATTTAACAAATTTTATGCATGAAATTCTTGATAGGATTTTTTTTTTTTCTGAAATACTAATTTTAATTCTGAATATGCATCACAGGTTTTCAAGTTTTTGAAATTTATTCTAAATTCTTACTTCCAGGAATTGCAAGTCAAATTTCTTAGTGAACGAAAATCAAACAAAATTAATTGTATCACAAGAACTGTATCATTATATTAAAATTATTTTATTATATTTATTTCATTACAAAATCAAAAGTTCAATACTGAATGAACAATATTCATATTTCAATTGTCCATGTAAAATATCAAAATTTGTTCAATAATATTACATACATTAGCCAAAGTTATATATATATATATATATATATATATACTACGAAAACCATTTAGTACTCGACTATTATTTAGCTTGCTAAATGATTTCCTTTCTGGTGTGTATATATGTGTGGACCCTCATGTGTATGAAAGATGACAAGAGCAAAGATAATTATTGTGCAGGAAGAGCAGTGGTTTCTCAAGGGGCGTTTCGAAATACCGAGGTGTTGCCAGGTATTTTGTATGACTTGCAAACCAATGAAGCAAGCTCTTGGGGATTTGATCACTAAAATTTGAGGTTTTGTAGGAGTTTTCTGAATCAAGAGTTTTGGAAAGCTGCAGACACCATCATAATGGACGCTGGGAAGCCCGCATTGGACGCGTCGATGGAAACAAGTACCTCTACCTCGGCACCTTTGGTAAGTCATTTTGCAATGAACCTTCTCTAGTTCCATTTCGTAGCAACAGTCTTGTCGAATCATAGAAGATGCTTGCAGACTCACGGGTTAGAGCCCATTTCAAGCTATTACACGGTGCATGTCTCGCAGCCACCCAGGAAGAAGCTGCCCGGGCTTATGATTTGGCAGCAATCGAGTACCGAGGTGCGGCTGCAGTTACAAACTTTGATCTAACCTACTACAGCCAGTGAGTACTTCTGAGACCAAATCTCACTTTTGCTTCATTGAGTGGCATTCATATTACGATGTTACATTTTTCTCTCTCTCTCTCTCTCTCCCCCAGAATTTCTCTTATGTTCGAAGATTTGGCAATGGCTCAGAAATCTTTCGGCAAAGCAAGGGCAAGCCAAATTCATAATCCCAGAGGTTCAGCATGGCACAAGCTCCCCTTCAGGTGGGGCAACCAGCTCATGCAATGAAATGGAGATTTTGGGAAGAATCAATCGAACTCTTGAGTCCTCACTTGACGATGAACTGCAGATGCTACGAACCCTCGGTGGAGTCACAGGCTCTAATGAGGACCTTCAGATCCTGGAGAAGAAGAGCCTTATCCCTGATGGAGCCTCCTCAACGGACTTGCAGTTCCAGGGGAACAATAGCCAGGTTGTGAATTCGGGGGGCCCTAGAAGAAACTCGTTCATGTTCACGAAAGTGAAATACCCAAGCGATGATGGCTCAAGTAACGATTTACTCGAGTTGAAACACAGCAGTGGTGCTCCTTCTGTACATTTGTCCTCCACACCTGTCAATTTCGGTGCAAATTTTACCTATTCGTCCCAACAGCTCACGGACAATACACCACAAGATGTCACTGATACCGTGAATCTCTGCATGTCGGTCACATCCAACCTGGACACTCAAATTGTGAATATGAAGAGAAAACTTGAAAGTGGAGAGGACTCCGAAGAGTTCACGCTAGATGAGATCTCAGATATGGAGACAACAAGCACCATAGATCTGTTGCTGGCAACGGAGGAAGATGACTGGCATCTCAATCAGTATCTCAATGAGTTTTCGTGGGACTCACATGCGGATAGCGAATCTCAGCTCTTGGATTCAAGCGATACTACCTTCTGTGACGATGGAGTGTTCCCTGGCACATGCATCGGCTTGACGGATTACGAAGTTATTTCGAATGTGCTGAATGAGCTGCCGACAATACCGTCGAGACATGCCTATACAGTGAGCGCATTCGCGGCCTGAAGGCATGTGGTTCGGACAGGAAATAGCTGCCACCGGGGTACGGAGTTGGCGATGTAATTTTTTGTACTCTGCACGTTCTAACTTAGCACAATCTGATAGACTCTGTGCCCCATGTATCTTCAACATTACCATCTAGAAGCTGTGAATATGCAACGCTATGTGAGGATAGAGCACTGCATTGAAACCAAAAATCAAGAAATGGAAAAAGAGATGAGAGGAGGTGGTTTTTAGGGGGATACACAATTGACTTCTGGTGTTGCCCTGCAGATGATGTGCTGACGTTTAGATCTAATACATCACATGGTGTTCATTTTGGGTGATCAGTTACTATTAATCTACTGAGATAAATTCTTCGCATACTAACGGAGCGTCCTGCACTACTGCGTATCTATGCGTACAAACCAAAGGTTTCGTATTCGTCGTAACTGGAACAAATTGAAGCTGGCTGATCATCGAATACACCACGGTGATCTTGCCTAAGCGCAATAAAGGTACTAGGTTACTAATCTGGGTTTAACTCATTAACATAAAACAACCGGTTGGTGACTCCGTCGATAAGTAAACAACGAGAGACAGTCGGTGCACAATGCTGTGTGAGTAACAAATGGTATGATGGCTTCTATTGCCACGCTACACTATGCGTATGAGATCGTACGTCACATAGATTACGATTAGCTACGATTAACAACTGCATCTGTAGTGAGCAAGCTCAGCTTTGTTCTAATTTAGCACAATCTGATAGACTACTGGACTGTTCTATGCTCAAAATCTTGCAGTCAGTTTCATCGATTCCATTACCTAGGGCGGCATAGTGAAACACACACAATTCAACATCAAGGTACGACGCATTGATAGGTATCTATGTTCACCCCGCAAACAATGTAATCAACAACAATGGCGGGGTTGTGAAATTGTTCCTTAAATAACGCTGCGAACAAACATTTTGAAGTAAAATTACAGTGGCAGCCGAACAGCTGTAAGGCGCAGGCTCCGAGTAAGTGGTTTGCGTACTTAGTACAATACAGCAGCACCCTTGATGTTACATGGTCGATCATTCATGGCCCAAGACTGATTCTGTTAGAGTTGGTGAGTAATGATGCAATGAGAAACTGAGCGTCTTCCAGCAGTGATACTACTCCCTTACCCGCCTAACCCACAAAATAGGACAAAGACCTAGTTGAGAACTGCCAAAGACCTAGAAAAAACCCTGGCTGGATCATTAATTCAAAAGGAAGCAACCTTAGTTGTCTTTCAAGGTCACAATAGACTTCACAAGTCCAGGAGCAATGCGATCCGCAAGAGCACCCACGTTCGATAGCTGCAGAGTTTTCTCCTTCACGACACCTTGTAGGGTCTTGGCTCTCTGATCCAGACTCACCTGCTCCTGCTCCAATTGAGTGTGAACGGAATGAAAGGGTCGACGCAGAAAGACGTCCGACCCAGGAGCCATGTACCAAACATGCGTCGTTCCATCATAATCACCACAAGTGCGGCACTTATCTGCGTCCCCACGTGACACACCAGGCAAGACAACACTAGAGCGAGAGGTCTTGGCTTGCCTTCGCATCGCGCTAAGAGCCTCGCGATTTCCATTACGAGATCTGTCGCACTCCACTAAGTCATGACGAGCGAGCAGAAGATCCTCTGCAAACACCTCCACCTCCGCGACCTTCTTTTGCAAATCTTGCACCTCACCATCCATTCCTAAAACACGAATCCTTGCAACCTTCCGAAAACCCTAACGAAACCCTCACAGAAGGAACGAGAAAAAGAGGCAGATTGCAATGTGAATCAACGCATTGATTCCAAACACTGGTGAAAAAAATCGCTGCAAAACCAACACTGTGGTCCGAAAACAGGTTACCCTCACAAATTTCGAGAGCTCGCAGCTTGGTTCAGGAGATGTGGTGAGAAGAATTTTAGGGTTATGGGTATTACCGGCATTGCTGCTGCTCTCCAGTTGAGAAGAAAAGCCGACAATCACTACTTCGTTAGAGAACCCAAACTCACCGAATACTTCAAATCAAGTGCCGATTACGCTGCTTCATGAGATCTCGGCAGCGACAGCTCATCGATCACGAACAATGCCGACCACTTCTGCTTTCGGTCCAGGCTTAGGGCTCAGAGCTCCCTCGGCAAAGTGTATGGGATATTTTTTTAAGGCTGTGAAGTTATGCAAAATTTTGACTCACCACATCTAAAATTTCTAAAGCCTATTTTGAATCATCTACATCCATTATTCTTACCCCCTGCTCCCTCTATTCTCAATTATTTCGATTCCCTTAGTTTCCAACTCCACTTCCTTTGTTCCCATCTGTTCTTAGCATCTACCCCCAGCTTTGTCACTAGCTCTCATCCCAACTTCATTCCAACCTTCATCTCAACCTCTCCGATAAGGAATTAACTACATCTGTGGTAAGGAATTAACTATGTGCACTCTATTGACACTAGCATTCAAGTTGGTTTCGGTATGATACTACCCACCCATTTTGCGTGTCAAGTTCCAGTTGGGCCTTTTTGAATGCCCTTATTCTAATAACAAGCTCAAGTTGAGTGTAGGTCATGATGTAAGTCATGTCAACCTATTTCATGTTTAAATATATAGCCATATCTTAATTTGATGGCAAAGTCTATTAAAACATGCTTAATTATTTGAGATAACTATTGTCATCTTGTGACCATCACATTAACATAGGAAATGAATCAGTTTTTGACCAACATTGAGAAGCACAAGGATACTGATCTATATGACAATAAGATAGCAAACATTATACAAAAGATTAATGAGCATCGCCAACGTCGAGCTTACTATCTTAGGTTCAAACATTCTTCTGTGGATTTTATCAATGGTTTAAATGCCTCTCAAAGCTAGGACCATAAATTGGTGATTGGATAGAATAGTTAGAATGTGGAGAAGGAGCAAAGATCCGATTTCTACAATCAGCCATGGTATATACTAGTTAGCCACAATGATACAAAGACTTGTGCTTGAGGCTGTAATTATGATCCACATTAACTTTTAGTACCATGGACCAAAACATTGAAACTTGTGCACATACAAGGTAGAAGATGCAGTAATTCGGTTCCTTAATTGATGACTGGCAAAGGGCTTGAAAGGTCCGAGGAACAATTCATGAGCACTTGAGGACTTCATCTACTTTATGATCATATTTTCTACTTAGTGTAAAATAGTGTATGCACGAAAGTTCACATGTATTCAAAGTCTGTATCTTTGTTCTTATCCTTTTCAGGCTCCAAAATTGGGCATGGTTTCTCACGTTGCATTAAATTTTGCCTATATTTTTTCAACTTGTCTGAGCATTATTGAATTGTGCTTGAATTGAGCTTGCATTGTGAATAGAATTCTTTCAACCACAATGTACAGTTTATGATAAAGGACCTAAATTTTATCCTATTTGATTTTGTTTTATTGTTGGTTCTACTTAGTTTATCCTTTTCTTTATGTGTGAATGAGGAATAGAACATGTGATCAAAGACTTTAACAACATTTTTGAATATGGTTCTACTTGGTTAATCCTTTTCTTTGTATGTAAATGAGAAATGGAACATGTGCTCAGGGACTCTAACAACATTTTTGAATATGTTGCAGGTGGACCAATCTCAAGTTGATCAATACATTAGAAAGTATTTAACAGTGGGCATTCTCAAACGTGATACATACCTTATTATGTACATGTATAATTTTTTGTCTAGGATATATTTCTAATGGGTTTCACACTTGGTTTGTTAAAAACTCTTTTGATTTTTGGCACAGTTTAGTGTATTATGAATTTTTCCATAGGTAGTTAGATGGAATTCTTGCCTTCCATCATTTTGCTTGCTAAGTTACGATGGCCTTTATAAGATATCTAATTTGAGTTCCATAGTACTTCAAAATGTTAGTTGATATAATCATCATTATATGTACAGATTATGTAATTTTGGCACAAATAGATGAAGTCTCTATGGAAATAATTTTACCATTTCCTAGCAACACTTGTTTCCAAACTTGCAAGTATATGTTGGAAATTAAATAGAAATGGGTTGTATTGGAATTACACAGCATAAATCCAAATCAAGTGCTGGTGTGGAGGTGATGTTCAAGGATCGGAGAAAGGCAAAAGCATTTGTAGATGCTCAGTAAATTGAGAAAGTAATACACATATCATATATGGTATCTATTCTTGTCAAGTCTCTGTTTAGAGAGTAATAACTCTTTTATGTTTGTGAAACCATCAAATTTGAAACAAATCATTGTATGAAGGACATAAACATGTGTACATGAAATGAGGGTCAGAATGGAGTCAAGATGAGCGCTAGTGACTAAATTAGGAGTGGAGGTTGGAAACAGAGGGAATAGAGATTGATAACAAAGGGGTCAGAATAAGAACTTGGGACAAATAGAGGAGGGATTGAGAACTAGGGGAGTTGGAATGAAAGCTGGGAACGAGGGGTGAGAATAAGGAAGGTGTGAATGATTATAGTGATAGTTACTAAAGAGATGGTTCACTTTAGTAAATATTAGGGTTGCTTTAACATTCCCTCAAAGAAGATATATATATATATATAAATAATAGATACATAGAATTAACAATACATAATATTTATATCATAAAATCTTAGAAATATAGGACATTCATGCAATTATATTTAAATAATTACATGTGCTATTTAAAATAAAATATTTAAACTATTATTAAATTTTAGATAATTTATAAAATAAAAAGTAATCAAACTTGGTACAATATAATACCAATGAGACATTAAAAATTTAATTTTTAAACTTATTTTATAATTAATTTTACCAAATAATCATCTAAATGAATTATTTTTGACATAAAAATGTATTACCTTATGGTTATTATTTTTACAAAAAATTAATATCATTGTTACAAATAAAAATGACCAAGTAAAAATTTAAAAATATTGGATTATTTTTAATTATCTTTTTTGTAGTATAATTAAAAACTAACTTCAAAAAATATAAAAAATATACATATTTTTAAGTATTAAATTTTATTTTTTAAAAAACAAGTATAGTTTTTAAAAATATTGTTGCCTTTTCAAATTACTTTAATTATTGTATTCTTGTATATAATTAATGGTTATATTAATTCAGACTAATTTTTGTACTTATGTGATAAACCTATAGTCTTATTGTACACCATCAATTCAAAAAATAATACAATATTTGTAAGTATGTGAAGTATTTTTTTTCTAGACTTTGATGTCACATGGACACAAAACCATTGTCTAAATAACAAAGAAAAGCGCAATGGTACTACATCCATTGATAGAATAGATGTTGAGATCAAACCTTATTTGTTTGTAGAGATGAAATTAATGTGATATATGTAAGCATTACAATATACTTTACTGCACCTTGCAACCAATATTGTTATATTGATAGAAACCTGCAATCCTTAAGATAGAGCCCACAAAAGGCAGCATTATAGGTGAGGTATAAAATTACCATATGATCTTTTCTAAAATGCATACACCATGGTTGGAGGTGCTTGTAACTTCAACTAACCAATCGACAGGATAACTCCTAAAAATCCTCTACGTAAAATCAAAAATTGTTGCAACAGTGTTCAATGAGGAAACATGCACAATTGCATAATATTGAAAAGTGGAGAATTCTTAATTCCAAGGTTGCTAATTTTGCCCTTATAGTTGATGACCTTTATTTAACCTCAATTTAAACTCATATTTAACCTCTGATTGGCTGTATTGTTTTCATCAAAAATTTTGCTTTGTAATAAAATTTTGATTTAAAAAAATGATCATTGACTGCTGTACTCAATCAAAAGGCCAATATGTCTCCCTAGTTAATTCCATTGATTTATATCCCCTACAATGTATTTTATAATAAATTCTAAATTTTAATATAAAAAATAAAATTTATAAATAATTTTTTATTACATATAGAATAGCAATATAGGTATCTACAAAAGTATGTTATATAATACAATCTAATTTTTTAAAAATTAAAATATATAATATAAACAAAGTAAAATTTATATTATATTATAATATAACTTTAACTAAATATAACCATAATAATAATAATTGAATGTATATTTGAAAAGATAATATATTTTTAAATCTACTTAATTTTGAAATATTATATTTATAAAATTTCCATTTGCATTTAAATATTATTTCTTTAGTCTTTTACAATTGTGTTTGAATCTTATAAAATTAGAGACTTTAAAATAAGACTTTCAGCAAGTTTACAAAGTGGAAGTATATAATAGTATTTTATATTATGAAAAGATGAGGAAAGAATAATAAATTAAAAAATAAAATTAGATTTTTGATATTTAACTCTTATGAATATATGATACTTATGTGGAGTATACAAAAGAAATGTTACAAGAACCAAGCCATTTGATTTTATGATTTTAATCTGTAACATTACTCATATATTGAATTACTTTTCGTCATTTTTATGAATATTCACAAAAATAGGTATGTATGACTTTATCAGAGAGAGCGAAAAAAATAGGATATCAGTGTAGAATTAATATTTTAAACTTCATAAATATTGCTATTATAGTTAAAAGTATGTGATTTTGAATAATCTAAAATTTAAATTTCAGCTTTTCTTTATATTTATTATTTTCAATCATAGTTATTTTACTTTGTTTCAAATACTTTCAGGTTTTTCTACCAAGTGTTGTTAAGTTTATTTTCATCGATAAATACTGTAACTACAACTATATGTATAATTATTGGTCTGAAATGAAAAATAAAAATCCCAATTTGCATCAATAGATTTGGGGATCCAATTTTTTGTAATCATACCTGTAAATCCAACCATCTTCAATATGATTTTCCTTATAATTTAATCTTCACTATTTTTGAAAATATTTAAATACAGTACACCAACAGCATAATTAACCTTACAGTTGAAAAGTCTATTCAGAATCAAAGCACACTGTCGAAAATGTGTTACGTAAGGTATACCTTGGAAAAAGAATCCAGTTTGGGTATTTTCGTAACATACAAGCAACTTGAGGATTTTCCATTCAAAAACAATTGGAACATTATTGCAACCTATCACACCATCTAAATTCTATCCACGAGACTGTTTTTTGTTTCTATTTTCCAAATTTTTTTAGTAATGTATCGACACTCTGGAAAACACAGGATAGGCTTGATAATTCCCATAAATTAAAAACCTCATGGAAAACTGCACTACAATCCTATTGCAGCAGAAGTATAAACGGAAGCTTCCAACAATGTCATACATTACCTCGATTTATCAGGAAAGAAGAGAGTGGAGGAATCTGTTCTTTTGAAGGACCTCGAGGCCATTGCCTAATTCATTGCATCTCCGTCGATACTCCTGGCCGGGTCTTGCCAACGGGCCCCATTTCCAGATCGTTTTGTGGAGCACCAGATGTGGGAATTGCTCGAGGACCGTGCAAACCATGACTGAATATTCCTTGGGGTTCATACTCATATGGATATCCAGCTGTTTAACATAGACAAAGTCACATGACACGAGACGTCAGTTCATCAACGGTTGGTGCGGAATCAGGAGCTTGGTATCGAACTGCTTTGATACGAGTCTCGTAGAGTACTCTAACAATTTGTAGAAACAGAGGTAGCTAACTCCAACGAGAAATTCAACACGTGTTCCACAAATTGATTATGATATTCGTTGAGCTCAAGCAGGTTATGAATCTTATTGCGAGGATTGGCTGAAGACTCACCCCATGATCCAGCGTAGATGCTAGGGTAGTGCTGTCTGTAACAAAAGTACGCAATGGGTAGTCCTGGAATCCATGAAACATCAGCTTTGATTTCTGAAAAACTTTGATTACACATGGTTTTATCAGGATTGCAGTAAGTTTTGTTCGCAAGGCAAATCTATCCACTACGTTCAGGAGAAGGGCATCTGCTGATCGGATCTGAAATCTGCCAGCAGCGGTTACAATGTTTACCAATAAATGCGGCGCCAATGATATCGACCCAACGATGCTGGTAATCGTTCACACGAGAAATCGCAATTAATACCGTGACTAGATTAGGAAATAGAACGAAGAAGACTCTGGATGAGTAGCCCCTCTTGTCGAAGAGACTCAGCTTCCCCGCCAAGTACAGAGACAGATATCCGAGGCCAGCAAAGCACCCTGAAAACTCAAGCAATGGCTTTTCAGAAACCTCAACCCAACAGCCTTGTGACATATTCTGAGGATCCAGATGTACACTGCGAACTGAGAAAACGAGACCGTGAATGAGAGAACAACTACTCGACATACTCTACGTGCGGAGACGTTCTCTAAACACTTTCACTTTGTTCGATTCATACACCACAAATGGATTCAAATATACTTTTGCAATTAGCAGCACAACGAAGTTGTAAGATGCAGGCGCATACATGACACATGTCCACTGGGGAAGCTTTTGTAACCATCTTTGTACTCTGTCATATTATTCGGATGACAGATTGCTCGCCTGCGCGAATCGTTTGCGTATACCTACAACACATCACATCCCCCCCCCACGTTTGATTATTTTCGCATCGGATCAAACCCATGTTAAAGTGCAAGTTCAATTAACTTCACAAATGAAAAAGAACCTCAAGAAAAGCCTTGACAGGGGAACCTACCGCAATACCATCAGGAAAACATCGGTCGAAGAAGTCGGGACGCGGCATTCCAACCATATTCTTTATGGAATCTGTGAATAGTGCTGTCAAAACGATCGCTGTAGCAAGGCCTGTGAAGGAAAGACTTCATCAGTAAATCACACCCGAACACGCTGACTTACAAAACTCCAATCCATCCATTTGAACTAACTGATACAAAAGAAAATGTTTTCATTCCACTGAGGTAGGACTAACGGTATGCACAATAATAACAGATGCCGAGTTTCAGTTTGTAATCCATGAAAAAACTACTGCAGCAATTTCATGGGGCCACACTAATAAAGAACAACAATGCTGCAGGAAGCCAACTCTTCGGAGCTAAAAGAACATAGTACTGGTCCAACTTTCCACTTCCAGAATCACTTGAAGCGACCAGGTAAGTACTTTGAAGCGAGGTGCTATTGAACGACTTCACGACCATTTGAAGAATATCAAAAAAAATGAGGACAAAACTTTCTGACTAAAACTGTGTCAACGATGAGGGCGAATGCAGAAGAAAGGTTCAAAAATGTTTTATCCGATTACCTGTGGCAGGGAAACTAAATCAACTCTCAAAAGAGGCTTGCAAACCGTACCGTTCAACCAAGCACAACAAATATGTTAGAACTCTCCAAATGCAGAATTTTATAAGGAAGGAGTAGTGATAGCTCAGTACTCACCAAGAAAAGCATTATGAAAATCACGTATACTTCTCCTCTTGATATAGTAGGCGAGGAAGAAAAGAATCGGAACTAGCACAGCGATAACCTAGTTACAAAAGTTAACAAAAACGATACTTCAAAAATTAATGCTGAAAGACCAACTCAAGTCAGGTGCTGTGTTCAAAAACATTGCGATTAATGACAAGGGCATAAAAATCACTCGTGAATTTTTGCAATCCGCAACAACATAGAAAACTTAAACGAGAATGCACGCTATTTCGAAAATAATGATGGAGAAAAATCGCACCCCTATTGACCATGTCGGTACAGTGTCTGGACCGGTAGGATATTTGTATTCCTGCATTTTCGTTTCGTCCACAAACCGATGGAATGGAGGAATGAGGAGGTAGACAATTATCTCTAGGGCAATCATGACTGCAATCCATAGCCAGTCCCGCAAATGATGCTTGATCAGCTGCACAAGGCGCACTTTGTGATGCGGTCGCTCCGTGGCCGGCTGCCTTCCTAAGTCGGGCTCATTCCATCCATCATTCTGCCTCTCTGGGAAACAAGAGAAGCATCTCCAACTTCAAATCCTCAGCACAATAACAAGAGTCCCGCACACGATGAAGAACAGTTCCCGAATTATCAAAGACAAAGCAAAGACATTAACTCCAAGCTGGAAACCGCAAGACACAGTACATACCGTAACTCATTTTAGCCCTCGTTGGCTAAGAGCTTGGACCCGCCCACTTAGGTCTCGGAGCAACACACAATCTGCCACAAGAATACCTTAGTTTTTATGGAACAGAAACAACTCAAAAAGCCTTCATAGATGGGGACCGACAGCACTCGATCGACACACCCTTTGTTCCGAAAGACCATTGTATGCTTAAAAAAACAGGAGAAAGGTAGCAAAGCACATAGAGATAGCCTGTCAGACTCTGTGTCCCGACTATGAACCTTTTGCGCTCACGGCTCGAGTAGCTACGAAGACTCGAGAAAAGCCAAGCCCCTTTGTTTGTTTGTTTCTATGAGGGGCATCTAGCACACCCGAAGGTCAATCGTCGCTGTGCTACCCAACCACGACAAGCTCGTTGCAAAATAAAACACCCAACTATTCTTACAGACTGTAGGTCGATAGCTGAAGTCCTCAATATTATGCAACTTGAAAATGAAGCAAACAACTGCAATGGACACACTCCAAACGAGACCAACAACTACAGAATACCTCATCCTCCAAAGAAATTATCACTTGAATGGAACATAGTCTATCAAACTTTGTCTGTGCGGACTCAGTAGCCCTAAACTTCGTCCTATCCCAAGCATAGACACAGTCCGAAAGACATTCATAATGTTCGATCCTCATAAAAGTGAATACAGGCCAATTATAGCCACACAAAAAAACACACTACTCCGCCACTAGGGCCTCAACTCACCACTGCACGGAGCAAGCTCACGGAGCAAGCTCACGGAGCTCACCAGAGAGAGAGCTACCACACTGAACTTGCAACGACGAAGCATGCACTGACTACTCTCATTCAAGATGTGCGGCGTCTGCGCCACACTGTCCGTATCCAAAAGGCCCACGCACGCCATCAACAGTCTAACAGGTTATTATGTCGTCGATGTGCTACAAGTGGCAGAAGAGTAAAAGCTCCGCCAAATGCTCCTGTAATTAAAGGAAATAAACACCGCCTTCAGACCATCCAGTCGACCCTGTCCCAGAAACGAGCGAGGAGCTCAGATCCCGACGTACGCCTCTTCACAGGCCATCGTATTATCCTTACAATGCTCGTTGACGAGTTCAATTGTATTTCTCGGAGAAGGGTATCTCGATAGCCTTATTGCAGTTTCACCTTTCACCCTTCGTACCCAGCCCAGGGACCACCGGCATGCAGCACTCGGGATGTGCTGATCTATCACAACCCTGCAACGGCAGTATTCACATATCTGTGACTCTGTCTTGTGGGATTTGCTGCTGAAGTTTGAAGCAACTTTGAAGACACTGAGGACGTGGATGGTTTGAATCCCTCATCCAATGACTGATTAGTGGATCTTAGCTACTGCTAACTATGCACAGCTACCAATCGCAGTGTAAGGGGTGAGTCACTGTGTTTTCTCTGTATTACGTCGATGTGGTGCTCCAGAGTCGGGGTAGAGAGAGTTTGCCTCAAGAAAACGCTAGGCTTCTGGCTGTCACTAATTATTCAATCAAGCTTGAAATTAAGGGAAGCCCTAAGTTTATATATAAATTTTCCCTTTTTGAGCAATTACACCAAATACACAAGCCTCAAGTAACCAACAACACCCAAAATATGATAAAATCTTCTAAAATCTTATATATTCTTATGTGGAGATTTTTCCGAACTTCAACACCTTGTATCTCCTAATCCGGCAGTCCAAACAAACTCAAAATTTACATGAGGTACTGATGTATTCTTATTAACTTCTACAACAATTTTCAACCGCAAATTCATTGCGGATCTTGAGATATCTTGAAAACCTTAAGAGTCGCTTGAAACCCTTGTTTTTATATACTAGTGTATAATTTTCTTCATATCTCACAAAATATAAGTTCAAATGCCACGAAATTTGTATGTATAGCTTCTTAATACAAAAATTTACATTCTCCAAAAAGTTTGAGCAATAAATTCGTGCGAATACTCAAGTTATGACTCCAACCATTACTACAAACAAAATTGCTTACTTAGTGCCTTTGATTTGGAAGCACCGCCTTCAATTCTTTATAACTCCTTCATATAAACTCCAAAAGTAATAATTCTTTCATAAAAAATGTAGGCCTTGAAATCTTTGTTCCAATCACACCTTTCGATCTTCAAAAGCTACTGTAAAACTCCTCGTATCCTCAAAAGAGTAACAATATGTCTTAAATTAATACCTTAACTTCAAACGGCTATAACTTCTTCATTCTAACTCCAAATCTTCTAATTTTTACACACAAATTGTACCCCAAATCCTAAAATTTATAATACTAGCTTGTAATCTTCAAATGCCCTCTTTAAAGTCGCCAAAATCCTTCTTAAGGTTGCAGGCAGCCCCCTCAAAGCCCATTCGGCATGGTATTCGACCAATAGGAATGAAGTTCTCCATTTCTTGCCTTCATCCGGCCATGCCTTGCTTTCATCCCTCCCAATTAGCCTCCTACTAGTTTAGATTTTCATTCTTAGGTTTCTACCTTCTCCCAAGGCTTCATACTAAACATTTAGGTCCTATATTTATATATATATATATATATATATATATTTTTAATGTCAAAATCAAAAGAAATAAAGAAACAAAGTAAAGTTTCTTATACCAATTCCTTTTAATTTAATCTACTAGCCATTCTAACACACATCTAGATTTATCAACATATAATATGTTTTAACTAATTTTTACATATTGTAAGCATTACAGTACGATTCCGGATTCACAGTAATCGAAATGATCGAGTGTCTGGCACACATCGTATTGCAGAAAAGAAGTCTTAAAGCTACAAACACTTAGCATCCGCAAGGATTGTAGTCTAAGAGAAGTGTGGAGAAAGATAATTCTTACTTCCAATACTCTTTACTTATAGGTGGTGGTTTGTTCACTAACGAGGCAACTTCCATCGTTTTGATATTACATCCATCTCTACCTCATCCAACTAAATCATTGGTGCTACCACAATAACTTACTTTAATTCTTTGCTACCTTTTTACTATTAGCAACATATTATACTTAATCTCTATGTGATTGTAACTAAGCAAGTACTTATTGATTTTCAATACTTCCACTTTGCTAATATTCAAAAGGCTTTAATCCTAATCTCTGAATCAAGTCATGATGTCTATTCTTCACTAATGCCTTTGTAAGCACATCAACAAGCATGTCATTTATAGTACAATACTTCATACCTATTATTCCATCTTCAATCTTCTCTCATATGAAATGATGTTGAACATCAATGTGCTTAGTCCTTGAGGGGTATTTTGGATTCTTGACAAATACAAGACAACCTTGATTATCACACATAATTAAAGTTGCTTCTAATTATACCAGACTAATGTCTTCTAAGAATTGTCTTATCTAACATGCCTCTATTGTACAATGACTTGCTGTGATGTACTTTACTTCCATCGTTGATCTTGCAATGGTAGGTTGTCTCTTGCATTTCCATAAAATGGCTCCTACTCTAATGAAGAACACATATCCTATTGTGGATATTCTATCATTTGCATCTCGAGTCCAATCCGCATCACAATAACTTTGCAAGTCAATGTTCTTACCATGAAGCCACAATTTAAAGTCTTTTGTACCTTTTAAGTACTTCAATATCATCTTTACCATTTTCCAATGCATTGGTTCAACCTTAGATATGTGTTGGCTTACAACACTCACCGCATACGTAAGATCCACTCTTGTGGCTACCATTGCATATATGAGTGAGCCTACTGCTCCCTTGTATAGAACACTTTGCATCTCACCTTTGACTTGTATAAACTCCTCATCCGTGAGCTTCATCAACTTCAAATTTGCCTCCAAAGATGTTCCAATAGGCTTGCACTCCTCCATGTTGAATCGTTTCAAGACTTCTTTAATGTACTTCGTTTGGCTTATTGTAATGGTCTTGTTACTATGATCTCTTACAAATTCTACTCCCAAGTAATAGTACAACTCTCCCAAATCACTCATCTCAATCTTCAACATGTTCATTTCTTTCATTGTTGGTCCTATTAATTGTAAGAGCCTTCATCTTTTCAACCTTCTTTGGCTTTTTATCTTCATCATCTTTATTGTCTTCGTCTTCTTGTTTCTTTGTTGAATTCAAAGATGTGTCCACAAACATACTATTACTCCCACTTAGACACATCTCCAAGTACTCACAAGCACTCTTGTGCTCCAAAAACTCAACATCATGACTTTTGATGATCTTCTTGGTTTTCAAGCACATTAGCCTATATGCCTTAGTACCTTCACAATAACCAAGAAACACACACTTTGTATCTTTTGTATCCAGTTAGAACCTCATACAATCTGATGTTTTTGCATATATAATGCAATCAAAGGTCCTCTTATAGAAAATGCAAGGTTGTCTCCCACTCCAACCTTCTTGTGGTGTTATTGGTATAAGAATACTTATTTGACACTTATTTCTTATATATACTGCATTCACCACAGCTTCCGCCCAAAACTCATAGCCAAGGTTTTGAGCATGACGCATGCTCTTTGCCATCTCTACAATGGTTCGATTTGCCCTTTCAGCAATACTTATAAAGGATAAGAATTCGATAAAAAAGAAATTCAGACAAGTGAGCCTTCATTCAAAGAAAGGTAACAAAATATAAATAAATAAGTATATACATTGAAAGAGAAACTAGAATGGATATTGCCAAAAGACAAGAAAACTAGAGACCCTTGAAACTAGACTAGAAGCAAGAAAGAAGTTGACAAGAGTGAAGAAGGCTTCATTCTTATATCTATATATACTATCTAACTAGGGACTATGTGGCGACGTTCTATAGGACCTGCAATATGTGTTGATTTTGTAGGATACATGCCTTGACTTACAAGGCAAGTTTTTCTATGTGTGGGCCACATAGTTAGCTTGATCTTCAAGTTAACAACATGTGTGGCACATGTCCAACTTATTGACCACGTTCTTAATCCAAAAAGTCAATTAAAGACACCTATGAAGTCAGAGCAGCATCTATAAAGCTTCTAAGAAGCTTGTATATTAAATACTATAGAATCAACTTACTTTTAGCTACTTTTATTTACTTCCATCTATTTATATATGTAATTACTAGCTTACATGAATATGTCCGTGACATTACTCCTCCTTCTAGAGACGAATTTCACGAAGAGCGGTCATCATATGTTGAAAAAATCTATGATGCGACAAATTGTATTCGCCACATACTCTGATCTTTGTTCTTTTCGAAGATGATTGATAGGGCCTCTCCACCATCAGTAGTGTCCCATACTAGGGCAGAAAGACCACCCAGTTATTTGATCATTGTTGAGGCCTTCATAACTTCCTTCGAATAGAATATTTGGAACACCATGAGGAGTTGTTCCTATCTCGAGCAAAATCACCAAACATCAGGAGTCCCTTCCTAAATCGTAATACCAAACGCGTTGTATCTTGCTGTCATAGTGTAAATGCTTATAATATATAAAAATTAGTTAGAACACATTAAATGTTAATAAATCTAAATATATGTTAGAGTGGATAATAGATTAAATTAAAAAGAGTTGGTATGAAAAAACTTTATTTTGATTTCCTTACTTAGTTTAATTATAGTATATAAAAGTTATAGAATCTTAATGTTAAGTATGAAGCCTTGAGAGGAGATAGGGGCCTAAAGATGTAGATTTAAACTAATAGGAGGTTAATTGAGAGGGATGAAACCAAGG